GCGTCGTGTAGTTAAAGGTTACTTTTTAAGTTTCTGTGTTAGTAAAAGTCACTTTAATCCAATGTTTGTAGATTCTTTATCTAAAATTCAAACAGTCAATAAATTATATCTGATTTCTTTATAAACAAAACATGTATTAATTTTATCTAGTCCTAAACCTTAATTCCAGTTAGAGTCTCGTATAAACAGTATCAACAATTTATAGAGCTCTGAATAGATGCCCCACATCTGTTCTGAAATCTGTCCAATTAGGTTAACACATTATAGAGTCATACATCAACTTCTAACCGCTATGGATAATCATTGGTGAGAGTGAGTCTATATTGATCTATATTTGCATATGTAATAACAATCAAAGCTAATATATCGCATTTTTATTCTAATGTTATGTTTAGTGTTAAAACAACTGTTTTGGCATTTTTATCTTTGGAGCAGTTATGTAATTTGTTTTGTATATTTATCCGAAGATTGCAATGATACTTTGTAGCAGATTTCCAGTTTTCCTTTAAAATTCATCAATTGCTAATTTTTGAGCTGCTGGTGGTAACTTAATATTTAACTGTGATGTTAAATATGTTCACAATCTCTATTCTAAACGTTTTTTTTTATTCTAATAAGTCTCATCTTATAATTATTATTATTATTAGTTAAACAAGTTGTTTAATGGCATGTGACGTCAGTATTGACGTAAGAAATAAAATTTAATTTTGTAAATTATTTTTATATGAAAGATTCAGTTTACTAAATTTGATTTTTCACACACAAACACACACACACACACACACACACACACACAGTCCTCATCAGAAATTTCAGAGCAACTGGCCATAATGACAAAAAAAATGGTGGATATGTCATTCGAAACTTTTACGAATGTAATTTTTTTAATTTTTGAACATTTAATTTTTAAGAAATTATTTTATTTTACTTATAATCAATTTGCTGTACATGTTTTTATGCATAAATATAAATTGTAGACCGCATTTAATTATTTTTACTACTATCTTTTTTAAGATGACCTTACACAGTCAATATTTTTTATACCGTCAGTATTAAAAAATATTGACAAAATGACTGATCGTGCGTTAATATTGATGGATTGACGTAGAATACTGACAGTGATCTGGATTTTGATTCTCGAGCATCAGTGTCGCTTTATTAGGATTAATGTCACAGTATGTCATAGTGCAATAGATAATGTTCGTAAAACTGAAGCAAAATATATTGTCAATAACACTGATAGTGTAAGATTATAAAAATACTAAAAATCTTGATGCATATTGTCAGTATTACTGATTCAATGTTACTAAGTTTTATTAACTATATAGGGTCATCTTTAGATAATAAAAATATCAATATCTCATAAGTATTTGTCATGAATGATTTATATTTTATATGATTCGAACAAAAAAACGATGGACATCTGTAAAAATAAAAATGAAATTAGTGTAAGGGCTAATGTCCACCATGCTAGAAATCGGTCTGAAATCTCGGATAAAGAAAGAATTGACCAATCGCATTGATCATGTGATCAAATTGTTCAAATGTGATTTGTTAATTTTTTCTCTGTCCGAGATCTCGCACCGATTTCTAGCATCGTGGACATTGGCCTTAAGTCAATGAGTAATAAAGCGTTGCTAATAAATTTAAAATTAAATTGATATTAACAATTTTTATTTGTTATTCATTAGTTATTTGTGAATAAATTATTTAAATCAAAAGTTATATTTAATATAAAATAATTAATATAAAAGTTGTAAATAATTTTATTTATGTATATTGTTATTACTATATTACATTATACACTTATATTTAAAAGGTTTTTTGAGGAGACCATCGGACTTTTCGGGCGTTGATTCTTTATTAAACAATTATATATGTATTTCTTCTACGTATAAACATATGACGTTGGAGTATGTAGGCATATTTTAAATTAAATATTTATAACATTTTTAATTGAATAATTTTTAATCTTGAAATATCTTCCATAAGCAAGAATGCATAATAACATTCCCAGAAGTACTAAGGAATATTATTCGTCATGTTGAACATCTGTCGCGTTCTTCTCTCACATTATTTCTTCGAAGATCAGAAGTCGAATTACATAAATATAATTCAATTCTGTTCGCTTAGAATACCTAATGTATAATTACCATACGTTGTTCTGCTGTTTAACGATTTTTTATGTACATGTAGTCTGTAGTGGACGTTTTTTTCTTTTCTATGGAAATACGTTGCCAAGAGATAAGTTTACGAGAAAAAGGAACTGACAATTACGCATCGAGTTTGTTTATCAATAGTTCGACTTAGATGTCTTTATTATTTTACGAGTAACTTACGTTGTTAGACTATCAACAGGAAATTACATGTCCATAAAAAAATTAGCTCTATCATTTGCTGTTATACTATACAATACATGATGATTAATCCTATTGATCCGTAGAAATGCATTGAGTGGGGATATACTTGGAGAAATGGACGATATACCGATTCATTTACTTTTTATCCAGAGAATCGAACGAATGTGCAAATACTGATCTTTATTTTCTTACTTATTAAAAACTATTGGCAAATGATAGTCAGAAGCACTGTCAGCCCAGTGCTAAAAATTGGTTTCCAATTATTCGGTATTTGGCCGGGTATCTCGTATTCTACCGTTCACAGTATGAGTATTATATCAAGTATACTGATCATACAGTACTTTCAGTATTTGTACATTTTTAAACACTTCAAGATCAGCGAGATCTCGAATCTCATTGACAGTTTAAATTTAACTTTTACATACGGTTTGACGGTATTTAAATTGATTTATCTGTGGATACGTCGTCAGTAAGATATTCTAATACACTATGTTCAACTTTGTTCAACTTAGTTTTATTCCGTGTTCGAAAAATAAATTTTTTTTCTCACAATCAGTTTCATAACATATTGTTGATTTGGTTTTCCGTAAACAAAAGTGATTTAATATCATCATCTAAACTTTAGCTTGAGTGTTAAACACAACATTGATGGTTCCGCGAAAAAGTGCGATTTTTCTATCTAAAATATTTAATAGATTAAAAAAATTGCAGAGTTTTTCATCAAATCCTGGTTGCTATGGATAATGATTGGCGCGAGTGCATCAATATGGATAAACATTTGTATATAATGACAATTAAAGCCAATTTAGCACATTTTATTTCCAATAGTATATTGAGTGTTAGTACGATTATTGCGATACCTTTTTTCTTAGGCGAATACATAATTCATTCCGTATTTTTAACTGAAGATCAAAATGACACTTTACGGCCGCTTCCTATGAAGATTCAACTTCCCTTTGATACTCAACAATCGCCAATATTTGAGATTGTTTTTGTGACATTATTTTTACATAGTATAATAATATTTGTCTATATGGTTTCTATTGTAAATGGATTGATTCCTACATTGGTAACTATTATATTTTATATGTATATGTTTATTTTTCATTAATTTTTATGTGATAAGGAAATTTATGATGCAGAATTTTAAAACTTATTTATAACTACAGTGAACCGGTCGGAATAATATTTTACGTTGTAATTTCTAGAACTTTGTTATATAAGGTAAATGCACTAGTTACTAAACAATTAATGAACATAATCCAATTACTAAACAAAATTGCAAAAATTTTAAATATTCAGTTTTTAATTATATGGACAACTCTAAATAAATTTATTATTTATAAAAATTTGATAATGAATTGAACGATTTATAGTTACATATAAAATTTCATTAAAAGCTTAATATTTAAAATGTTTGCCATTTTGTTGCATGATGTTTACCATGTAAAAGTAAATTATTGAAAATATATCATTAATATAAACAGTAAAATAGGATTTCACTAATAATCAAGGAGTATTTTATTTATCTTCAGTATAAATACTCACACTTTTTTCCTCAATCTTATATCTCATTATAGTCAGCAAAAATAAAATTTCATTATAAAATCAGCAATTTATTCGTCACAAGGAATAGACACGCACATAAAAGTCATGCGTTGTTATTTATGACTGTTTATTCAACGGACCGTAAATGTATGTACCGTCTTCCGTTTGGATTTTGGAATTCATTATACATTCGCTATTTATTAAGTGCCACTTGTAAAAATTAAGTATTTTGAATATCTTGCGACGATTTAATTCAGTGCCCACATATAATACATATATTCAGCAAACATCAACCAACAGTAGTATAACCTTAATATTAATAATTTTTATTTCAATAATGTAACTGTTAACTATAACACATGTTTTGTACATATTAAATTGTTGAGTAAAAATTTATAATAGTAAGATTATTATTGCTAATTGGTGTTTATTGGGATATTTTTTTATGAAAATATATTATTAGGCTCGCGAAAAAACTATTGGAATAATTGAAAAATTATTTAAATCATATATTGCACACTATTTATATTGTACATTACTAATAACTTACATTCTTTATTTTATTATTTTGTAATCTAAAGTTACTGTTTCTAGTTATCTAATATTATTTACTGAAATAGTTAATATTACTAATTAACGCTTTCAGTGAAATTTTACTGGTTTACAGTAGATTTATAATTGCTATATTTATAATTGCTATAATTAGAGATTATTTACTGTTCTTTGGTAATAATATGTTGTACTGATTTACTTTTAGAGAAAACTAACTAATACATTTACCTTAAGAATTGTTACCTTCTTTATTTAAAAATATAATTAATGTGTCCGAAAAATCCTATAAATAATTTTCGAGAAAAATTTTTTCAAGTGTATAAATATATTATCTAAAAATATTTTTTGTATTCGAAACATGTTTACATTGTTCACTACAGCACCAAAATCTCTTTTATATGCAATAATTATGATTTTTGCAAAAATTTAAGTATATTTTAGGTACTACACATTAGTGGACAAATTGATATAATGTGTCATGAGTTTAAAAATATTTCTAAAAGTATTTCTCTTCATGAATCTACCGTATCTTTATTTAGAATGTTGATCAAGAAACATAATAGAATTATATCATTTTCCAAAAACATTGAAAAACTTATCTCATTTATTGCGCTGATGCAAGTTGTTTTGGATACGTTAATTACCTGCGGTCTAGGATTTTTCGCCATAATTGTAAGTTCTACAATACATGTGCATTAATTGACATCGTATATATTATTCCTTTTCATGTTCATTGAATTAGGGTATTCATAACGAAATGGGTGTTTTTGTGGTAACAAAAACCATTTTTGCTGTTGCTCTCATATTGGCTGAAGTTTTCGTCATTTGCTTTACTGGAGAACATCTTAATTACAAAGTAAGTATTTATGTAAGTATGTAAGAAGTTGTAGATCATAAATATAAATTTTTTAAATTTTATATAATTATAGTGCCATGATGAAATACGTAGCATTTTTTTTTACAATAATATTTTAATATATTTTAATATATTGTAATGTTATTAAAAACAAATATTATTTAAAATAAATATGTTTTTAATAAATATTATTTCTACTTTAGAAATATTTTATAACATCTTTTAAATATAATATCGATATCTCTGCTAGTCTCTGCTAGAACAAAAAATCGCTGTAATCTTAATATATATATTGTTTTATATTTTATTATGTCATTTCTTATATTCGAAAGGTAGAAGTAGATAAATAAAATATTTTTAATATTATGCTTGTTTATTCTTACTATATATCATAATTTTTAGGTTATTCTTTGTTTCTTTATTTTTTAATCTTTATAGAACTTTTTTGATATCAGCAATTATAAAGAAAACCTTTATCTGTTAAATAAGTAGTATAAATATACATGACATGCTAGCAACTAGAAGTTGCTTTTGTCTATATTTCCTTTTAGAGTAAATCAATTATCAATGCAGCATACGAATTGTCGTGGTATGATATACCGTCACATCAGAGTAAAATGTTAATATTAATAATAATGAGATCTCAGAAGCAACTGACCATATCGGCAGGAAAGATGATGGATTTGTCATTCGAAACTTATACAAACGTAATTAAAAAATTGTTGGATATTTAATTTTTAAGACATTATTTTAATTTGCTTATAATTAACCTACTATTTGTACTTTTATGCATAAATATAATTTGTAGATCAAACATTATCTCCTTATTTCTTCTCTTTTAGGTCATAAAAACATCAGTATCATATATATCTGTCATGAATGCTTTATATTGACTCAAATAAAATTACGGTAGACATTTGTTGAAATAGTAATAAAATTAGTGTAAGTCAATAAGTAAAAAATGTTACTTAATTTAGAATTAGATTATATTAGAATTAGATTATATTAAAAAATCAACAGAAAGATTAGAGAGCCAAGCTAAATATTTTTTTTACTCAAATGAATAATTTAATATGTAAACATATAACAAACGTTTCATACTTTTAATGAAAATTCTCAGTGTTACAATTAAAAGTTTAAATGCTATTAAATATATGTAACAGATGAAAATAAAAGAGTTATAAAAATTATAATATTTTAGAATTCTTTTATTCTTTGATTAACAATCAAATACGTGTTAGCTACATATGATGAATATCACTTAAATTTTTAATTGTGACACTGACAATGGGGATGACTTTTTATTAACAATTCGAAACGTTTGTTATTGTTTATATATTCTCTAGCCCTTGTTCTGTTGATTTTTTAATTTTACTTTTATTGACCGTTTTATATATTTATATTAATTTTAAATATTTAGAATTATAAATTCTTATTAATAGTTAATATCCGTTATTTACTAATTGCCAATAAATAAATTACTTAAATGAAAAATTATCTTTAATGTAAAAAAATAACATAAAAACGAATAATTTTTTTTTACTTAGTATTATTATATTACACTGTACATTTTTACTCACTAGACAACACAGACCAGTAATATTTAGTTTTTAATATTATATACTTATACACTTATAATAATCTAATTTGTTGTGAGTTGTCAAATCACAAAAAATGTGTTGAGTTACTTTCGCAGTACAAAGCGTAAAAATCAATCAGAATTACGGAAAAAAGACAACAATGTATTTGACTATTGATTTAAGACTTAAATTTTATTCCAGGAAAAAGGATATTTCTGCGGAGAGCGTTGGATGTTTTCGGACCCTTTATTGACAAGTTATGGATTCAGTATGTATAGACACATATTCTGTTGGATATAGGCATATTTGAAACTAAATGTTTATGACTTCAACTAAACAATTTTTTTTAATTTTAAAATGTCTTTCTTAGGTAAAGATGCATAATATCATTCTTATGATTAGAAGCATTTTAAAGGATATTTGTCCCTATACTCTGTTGTTATCCCCTCACTTTATTTCTTTGAAAGCTGCACGAATACAATTCAGTTCCATTTCATAGAATACATAACATGTAATTATTGTTATTCTACTATAAGTTTAATGACTTTTTTGCTGTGTATATATAGAACATAATAGACATTTATTTATTTTTCGAAAAAGTATTGTTAAGAGACAAGTACGTAAAAAAACGGAACTGACAAGTACCTACGCATCGAATTATAAATTTGGCGGGCAAGTCCACTATCTTTGTTATTTTATGGATATTAGAATATTAGCTTCAATAATTCTTAGACTATAAACAGAAAATTATAAGATGTCCATAAAAAAATGAGCTCTATCTCTATTTGCTGTTATATACCATATATGTATAATGACGATTGATTATACTTACGAAAGTGGGCATAAACTGCATAGAGTTGCATTTGGAAAAACAGTCAATGTTCTTTCAGTTCTTTCTTAAACAGGAGTGCTAAATAAATGTGCCGATACTGATCTTCATTTCCTCGTGTTCTCAATACTGATAGAATACGAATGATAGTAACAAGTATTTTGAGTTGCTGAAGACCAGCTTGGTGTGATATATAGCTGGATATATCGTATTGCATATTGGTTAATTTATATATTTAGTATGCTGATTGTAGAGTTTTTCTCCAATATCGATATTTGTATTCGAGCACTTCAAGATCAGCGAGCTTTCGAATTTCGTCGATAGTTTACCCGCGGCTTTAGATTACAGCTTACAACAATTTTCAAAGTAATCAGTCTTTGAATACGACGTCGGTAAGACATTGTTGCAAACTTCAGCTTCATCTAATTTCGTCTTATTTGAGATATAAAAAGTATTAAGTTAGTATTAGTTTTTTATTATATATTTACTCGGTTAGGTCTTCTATAAACGAAACGTGTCTTAAATCTATCTAATCTTGAACTTTAATTCGAGCAATACGGTCTCGTATAAACGATACTAACGATTTATAGAACCTTGCATAGGTGAAACCATTTCTATCTTGATATCTACCCAATTAGAATAACATATTGTAGAATTATCATTTATTAGCTTTTAATCGCTATAGGTAATGATTGGCGAAATTGCATCTATATTAATCAACATTTGTATATAATAACAATTAAAGCCAATTTATTGCATTTTCATTTTAATATTACGTTTAGCATTAATACAATTGGTACAGTGTTGCACTTGTTAAAGTTACGGTTACGCAATTCGTTTTGTATATCTGCCCGGAGATTACAATGATATTTTGCAGCAGCTTTCCATTAAGGTACAATTTCTCTTTGAAACTCAACATTCACCAATTTTTGAACTCTGCTGGTCATATAAGTCTATTTCTACAAGCGGTGGTAAATGCGTGGACGCTTACTATTCCGATGTTTTAATTTCTACTCTAGTAAGTCACCTTATAAATATTATTTTTATTTAAACAAATGTTGTTTAACGGCAGCATGTGACGTTAGTATGTGCGGATGCGAGTGCGGTCTGCATCAAATCATATTCTAGAATGTGTGCTTCCTTGAAAAAATTGGTAATTTATTAGTGCAACGCAGTAGAAGCAGCAGATATGAGCGAAGAAGAAATTCAAATGTGGAACAATACATAATAATTGAATTTCTTATCAAGCAAGAAACAAATCTTCGGAAATATGTACAAGGATAAAAGCACACGACAAGGGAACGTTTGGACATAAGCATTTATATATGAAATAAGACTTTCGAAGAATATCGACAATGTGTTCAGAATAAACCGCATCCTTGACACCCAAGACCAACAATGGCAGAGAATGCTAACTGAATTGATGTTTATGCTGATCAACGCATTACAGTGTGAGACATTGCCTTTATGGTATTTTAAAATGTATATTTCCGAGAATTTTACTCCTTTCTTAATAAGAAATTTAATAATTATGCATTGTCCCACATTAGATAATCTTTGCTTATGTCTGTAGCTTTTATCGAACTTTGCGTTAGTAAGTATACCAATTTTTTCAAGAGAGTACACATTACGAAACTTTACTCGGGCTCCTATTCTTGAAAAGAAATACGAAAAATTAGGGAAATACTATAGTGTACGTAACGTATACTCCCTAATTTTCCGTACACGTTTCTTTTCAAAAATAGAGGTCTTGATGCTGATCACATTCTCACATGCCTCGATCGTCACTTGGGCGTGTAATTAAAGTAAAAATTTAAATTTGGCCCCTTCCCTAATAATAATAATAATAATAATAATAAGTATATATTCTAAATGTACAATAAGTCAAATGTTATTTTAAATTTAATATTATGCAAATTAATTAGCTATTTATTTCAGATATGACTTCTTTTATTATATAAACTTATACTATAAATAGTTTTTTATTATATTATTATTTTTAATTGTATTCTAAAGATTTCATGATGCTACTCCATAGCTCTCTTCATTGCTTTTATATTTTATAATAAACGATATACATACATGTTTTTACACTTCAACTTTTTCAACTTTTGTTACTGATAAATTTATAATTGTAAGAAAATAAAGGAAACTTTTACACTTATGCAAAGACTTTTATACAATATTTGATATTCAGCAAGGAAAAACTGTAAAAAATGTTATTTATTATATTTTTTGTCTTTTGCATTATATTTAGAGTAAATCAATCGCCGACGCAGTATATGCATCACAGTGGTACGATTTACTGTCAAATAAAAAAAAATGATAAATTATGGAAAGATTATAATATTAAGATCTCAAAAAACGACTCATAATTACAACAGGAAGAAATACAAACTTATTTTTGGAAACTTTCACGAATATAAGTTTTTGGAATAATTTTTTTGCCAGCTAAATAAACCTTTTTGACATTCACGAAAAATACAAGTTTGTAAAATAATTAAAAAAATCCTTTTTAGATCTTAAAACTACCAGCATCATATATATCTGTTTTACACGCGATGTATTGATATTTATAACAAACAGTGATTTGTTGAAATCTCAGTATTATTTGTATAAAATTATTATTAGTATAAAATGTCAATATAAAAAATTATTAAACTATTTTTGATAAAATGTGATAGTACTAAATTATTATGTTGTTCTAAGATTTATAAATGCACAATAAAGAATTGTACTTAAATTGATTTAAATCTCAATCTTCATATCTGTCTTTTATTTAACTTTAATTTTGTATTTTAAAATATTTTCTTGGACTTAGAAAGAAGAGAAATAGAGAAAAAGAGCAATTTAGCTTTTCAAGAAACGTAACAATTATCGAGACTTTATTCTATCTAGATCTAAACATGTGTAGTTTATGTTGGTACATTTATTTGTTTGTGTTTGTATAACTAAACTTGTATAAGATGTCCAGTTGATTTTAATTCTTTGAGTTTCCTTTACACGTGTGTTCTGAGAAAATTCAATATTTACGTTATTAGAGGAAATTATTTTTCATTATGTTGTGAGAGTTTGATACATCAGAGGGATATAAGATGTTTTTTCTTTCTTATCTTCGTAAAAGTTTACGATCAATGCATGAATTCATTTCCGTTACTGAGAATACCTAAGCCGTAATTATAAACTTTCAAACTGTCTTATGTTCAACAATCATTACATCTAGAAAATGGTGCACATTCGTTTTTTTCACAATGTAGCATTATTAGTAGGAGGAAATGGTTCAATGCACGATTTTTTGTTATTTCATGGTAAAGATATATCATTAAATTGTACAAGGAATATAGAATGATCGTACAAGATAATATACGAATTATTCTTCCTCAAATTGTTGTTATACGATGTATAACTGCGATTGATGATTGGTCCGTATTCACATGAGTGGGGGTATACCGCGTGTGCGTGGGGATGCACTTGGAAAAGTTGT